GGTTAGGATCTGCCTTGAATCAGGTTTTTTTCTGGTTGCTGTGATGACTATCTTAGGACACCTTTGGATTAACCATGAAAAAAAACTTTGTTCTGAGCAACCTGGATGTTGGACTTTAAAAAGATGTTGGTTATAACACTAATTAAAATAAGGGGAAATGACTAACATAGCCTCTCTTGGATTCTTTTCAGGCCAAACAGTGGGGCTGGACACAGGGTCGGTGGCCCAAAAAGAGTGCTGAATTTTTACTGCACATGCTTAAAAATGCAGAGAGTAATGCTGAACTTAAGGTACCATCTTATTTATTGAGAGAGAGAGAGTGTGCACATGTGGGGGAGTGGCAGAGGGGACAGAGGATCTGAAAGGGCTCTGTGCTGACAGCCCAGAGCCAGATGTAGGGCGAACTCACACACTGAGATCATGACCTGAGCTGAAGTCAGCATCTTTCTATGCGTACAACTTGGATGGTTATTCATTTATTGTTGCTATTGTCCTGATTTGTTTCTTTGACTATCTTGTTTTCTCAGTAACTGAAATTTCCCATTAATTTTTTTAAATCTCTACCGCCCAAATTTCCAGAAGACCCAAAATTTTGTCTTTGAAGATCTTCAGAAGCATGGGCTTCAAGCCTATTTTCCTCTCCTACCTCAGTGCAAAGCAAAGAAACATTTTCTCCTGTATTTTCCTCAAGGGCTTATAAGCCTTTTGGTACCATTGGCCTAGACCTTTTTGGGTACTATGATTTGTGAACTTCACAGAATACTTGTAAATACAAACAGTAGAATTCGTAGTATTACAAAGGAACAAATAGTTACCAAAATGATTGCATTAGTAATAGTTAATGTGGTTTGTTTACTACACTTGTAATGGAGAGGCATGTTAAAATTTCTGATTTTAAAAAACCGTGAATGTAGTCAACAAAGCTCAGGTTTATTTAGTTTGAGCATTGTCCTTTACATTTGGAATGTATTTGCATTTGGAAATTCAGGCCAGAACTGGAGTTAATGTAGATCTGGCTGTAACCCTTCAAGCTCTTAAACCCGTGCTGACCAAATCCTGTTTTTCATCAAGGCTTAGAAATTGACACTACCCTTAATGATTTTTAGGGAGGCCACTTACAAGCTACATGCAGCATTGAGTTTTGATAGTTGTTTAGATTAAGCAAGGACTCTTAGAATAAAGATGAAAGCAAACAGATGTTTGACAGATCAGCTTTTTTTTTTTTTTTTTTTTAATTTTTTAATGTTTTTTTATTTATTTCTGAGCGAGACTGCGTGAGCAGGGGAGGGTCAGAGAGAGGGAGATACATAATCTGAAGCAGGCTCCAGGCTCTGAGCTAGCTGTCAGCAGAGTCGGATGCAGGGCTTGAACCGATGCACTGGGAGATCATGATCTGAGCGCGAGCCGAATTGAGAAGCTTAACTGACTGAGCCACCCATGCGCCCCTAGATTGGTTATTTAAAGTCAATGTTTGCTTTGCAAAGATGGGGTCTTGATTATCCAATGGTAGGGTTTGTGGTGTTGAGATAAAGCTGTCAATTTGATTTTGTTTTCTTTACTGTTTTCCCAGGGTTTAGATGTAGATTCTCTGGTCATCGAGCACATCCAGGTGAACAAAGCCCCCAAGATGCGGCGTAGAACTTACAGGGCTCATGGTCGGATTAACCCATACATGAGCTCTCCCTGCCACATTGAGATGATCCTCACTGAAAAAGAGCAGATTGTTCCTAAACCAGAAGAGGAAGTTGCACAGAAGAAAAAGGTAAATTACTTAACATTACGTAGTCATCGATCAGTTTTATGTATGATACTGGCTTGTATATCTGAATATTGGCACTATATATATTTGCTTGCTGATGGCCCCACCTGCACTTCCATAGCAACTTTAAATGCAATTTGTGCAAAAAAGGGCCCTTCTTCCTCCCCCACTTACCCAAGCTAATCTTGTTTTCAGTAAATGATCACATTTCAGTTAAGATCCTGCCTCCAGTCTTCAGCACAGACACCCCTGCTGACTCTTGTTTCCTCCTGCCTCTCTCCCCCCATGCCATTTCTCTCTGCCAGAGGACTCCCTCCCTTTATCCTGCTCCTTTTAAGATGTTGTGCAAATTTCTCCAGGAAACTTGTAATAGACTTTCTTTTTTTTTTTCTTTCCCCAGATATCCCAGAAGAAACTGAAGAAACAAAAACTTATGGCCCGGGAGTAAATTCTGCATAAAGTACATGCAAATAAAAGTAAAAACAGAATGCTTATTGTCTTTTTATTTTTGTTTTATTTATTTTTGAGAGAGAGACAGCGTGAGCAGGGGAGGGTCAGAGAGAGAGAGGGAGTTACAGAACCCAAAGACAGGCTCCAGGCTCTGAGCTGGCTGTCAGCGCAGAGCCAGATACGGGGCTCAAACCCATGAACTATGAGATCATGACTTGAGCCGAAGTTGGATGCTTAATCAACTGAGCCACCCAGGCTCCCCTTGTCTTTATTATTAAACATATTTCAAGTATCTTCATAAAAGGATCAAATGGGTTTTCTTCTGATTGAATTAGAAGCATTCTGTCAGCCCTGTGACACTTAACTTTGTTTTGGAAACATGCTGTTTCAAATTTCTTGGTGCTACTTTGCATAAAATGGACTTTGACTACGGGGGTATTCCTGAATTTTTTTCCAACCGCTTTTAATGAGACATGATTCACCTAGTTACGATTACGTTGATGATTTTTACTCAGTTACACATCTGTCACCAGGCAAATTTTTGGACATTTTCATTACCCCAAGAGGAACCTTACCCAATTCAGCCTTGAGCAACAATGTGGAGATCTGTAGATTTGCCTCTTCTGGACGTTTCATACAAAAAGTGGGCTTGTTCTCGTTACTGGGGCCTATACCAAGAGTGAAGTTCCTAGATAAACTTGAGCCGTCGTGCTCTGTGCAGTCGTTCCCAGCAGTCTGAGGGCCTTGAAATAAGCACTTAAAACTGAACATCCTGCTAATTCCCTGCCCGTGAATTTCCGACCCTCTTAACTGGCACAGTGAATAGCCTAGCCGCAATGGGCGTTAGGTGACAGCCTGGCCCTCACACCCTAGTGGAGTGACCTTCCCTATGGTGGTGAGCCACTGGCACCGGCCGTCTTTCCCGAATCAAGGTTTTGGGTTTGGTTAGGGTTAGTATCCGGAGCGGCAACCCCCGACCCCTGTCCGCGGGCTTCGCGCTTTCAGTGCCGGCGCGTCCGCCTGGGCGTCACGGCTACGTCTGTGCGTGCTCAGCCTGACGCAGGCGCGCCTTTGTCGGCCCCTTTTGCCGAGCACATTGGCTCGGCAGCAGCACGTCCCTCCCTCCGGAAGTGCGGACATTTCCACTCGGACCCGGTGGACGCGGGTGAGCGGAGCCCTGGGGGCCCGGGTATTCGGCGGCGGGCTCGGGCGGGCTCGGGCGGCGACCCCGGTGCCCGCTGGCCGCTTCGCAGGCTCCCTCCCGGGCGGTGCCGAGGACGCCCGGCCCGCCCGCGGTGGCCCGCGCTGGACACCCCGCGGCCCGCCTGCGCTCTCCCGGATCTCCCGCTCCCCCTCCGGACGCGCGCCCCTGCCGCCCGTGCTCCCCTCGCCGTTACCTCCTCCGTGCGCGGCCGCCCCCTCCGGGCCTGCGGCGCGCCCCTCCCTTTCTTCTCGTCCGTTTATCCTCTTCCTTGGCCTGCGGTGTCGGCTTCACTTCGCTCTCTGATCATCTTCATCGTTCGCTCTTATACTCTCCTGTCCTTTCAGTGTCGTCTTTGACTCAACCTGTCCCGTAAAATGATGTGCCCGCCTGGGTTACTGGAAGGGCGGTGGCGTTCCGCCACGGTACCTGCCGGATTTCTAACAGCCTTTTCCTCTGTAGTCCACTGTCTTGGACCAGAGAGAATTCCTCTCCTCCGACAGTTTAAACGCATTCTGCTCACTTTGTTGTAATATCCGCGTACCCGCTTGGCGAGAGAGGAAAATGATAATCATTTTATCAATTTGTCATAGCCATCTTCTAGACCTTCCTAAGGCACAGTTTCTGCATGTATGAAGTTCCTCAGAGTCATGAGGATTAAGAGAGAAAATACAGTAATTTCATTATGAAGAGAGCGAAAAAGTTTTATAAAAGCCATGCTTATGACATAAGTGATTGGTAGTACTTGTTCTTGAGAGTTTGTTTAAAACAATAGTTAGGAGTAGGTAAAAATGAATGGAGTGCTGGTCATTAAAAACCTACACTGTCAGTTGTTTCCAAGGGTTTAAGTTGGTTTTGAAGGCTTGGTAGGAGGGGAGTAACTCGATCATTGTATTTTTGTTAGGGGAAAAGGCAAGTGAATTGAGATAGGAAACCAGAATTGGGAATTCTAATCTTAACCAACTCTAGTTATTATTTACCTCTGTATGAACTTTAGACCGGTTGCAGCTTTTGGATCTTTTTTTTTTCTTGGGGGGGGGGGTGTTCTGTTTTGGGGGTTTTGTGGTAACAACACTTAGAACGAACTTAACCCGTGCACACACTCTTCTGGCCTTTGCATTTGTTTTTTGTTTTTTAACAAATATATACATTTATTTCTGAGAGAGAGAGAGAGACAGCATGAGCAGGGGAGGGTCAGAGAGAGAGGGAGACACAGAATCTGAAACAGGCTCCAGGCTCTGAGCTGGCTGTCAGCACAGAGCCTGACATGGGCCTTGAACCTACGAACCCTGAGATCATGACCTGAGCCAAAGTTGGAGGCTTAACCGACTGTGCCACCCAGGCACCCCTGTGTTTGTTTTTAACATATGTATCTATTCCACCTGGTCCCTGTGAGCTAGGCTGTTGTCTTCATTTTCCACTGGAGGGAATCAAGATCAGACTCCTTGCATACTTTGCCCGAGGACACCAATTGGAAAGTGGTAAAAAGCAGGTGGACCAGCCTGCCAGTCGGCTTTGATTACTGGACCGTGGTGTAAGAGTGCAAGACCTAAACCACATCACCTCCAAAGTCTCTTCAGATCAAATTCAGAATGTCTGTGGCCAAAAATAATGATTTCCTTGGAAAACGCTGAAAAAGACTCACTGCTCGGTTTGGGCTTTTTCATCAGAAAATGTTCTTTAAAATTTTGGAACAAAATAGTTTGGTAAATTCTTATAATGTTACTTAAATTTCACCAGGGGACTGTCTTAAAGAATCCAGCTATGAATCCTTTGTAACATAGTAGATTGTTCCTTGATGTACATTTATATGTTTACTTGTTTATAGGTCTTGTAATTCATTTCAAAGCTACATTCAGATTGGGTTGTCTATACCGCTGCTTACTTGTATCGTGAATAATTCTTAAATCACCTTAGTGTAGTCATTGTGCTGATTCATTTAACATCAAGTACTATTTGACTGACAATATTTTGAAGTAAGTTTTTTTTAGGTTTATTTATTTTGAGAGAGTGAAAGCGAGTACGGGTGGGGGAGGGACAGAGAGGGAGAGAGAGAATCCCATGCAGGCTCTGAGCTCTCCGTGCAGAGGCAGCAAACCCTGAAATCATGACCTGAACTGAAATCGGGGGATGTTTAACCAACTGAGCCACCCAGGCACCCCCAAAATAGGAAATTTTAACATCCTGAATTAATTAGCTTTTTGCAATGTTCTGAAGCTTTCTTAGTTTTTCAGGCCTATTTAAGGGATTAAAAACTTGTGAATTTAAAAGATCTTTGGTTCAGTAGTATACTGTGGAAGTAGCATTGGTTCTTATTCAAGATATTGCTGATTTTGAGAAATTCCAAAATGATTTCTAATCATCAAGGAAATTAGAGGTGTTAATTTTTTGAAAGGGACAATTGACTTATAACAATAATAATACCACATAGTTTTTTGTTTTTTTAATTTCTCAGTACACCTTAATGCCATTAAAAAGAAACAGGCAGGGGCACCTGGGTGACTCCGTCAGTTAAGTGTCTGACTTCAGCTCAGGTCATTATCTTTACGTTTGTGAGTTCAAGCCCCGCTTCGGGCTCTATGCTGACAGCTCCGGGCCTGGAAACTGCTTCAGTTTCTTTGTCTCCCTCTCTCTCTGCCCCTCCCCTGTTCATGCTCTCTCTCTCTCTCTCTCACTCTCTCTCAAAAATAAATAAACATTAAAAGAAGAAGAAGAAGAGGGCAAATGTATCAAAGGAGAGTTGTTGCCTGGGAAAGTCTGGCTGGTTTGCAGCCCAGTAGTCTTCCAAAGTGATGCCTTAGTGAATTCCATGTTAGAAGATTTGCCCTTAGCCTTGGAGTTTTAGCTAGTCAATATTCTCAGCTTCTGAAGATGATTAGGCCCTGAGAGTTAATGCCCACCAAACTGGAATAGAAGTCATAATTAATGTTCCATGTCTTTGAATCTTTTCTTTGTCTATAAACAGAAATGGCAAGGGTATCCAAATCTCCCTGGAATTTTTTGAGGATTACATGAGTTAATAAGTGCAAAGGGCTTAACTGCCTCATATCCAGCAAATAATGGGTGTCTTTCCTTTATCCTCAAATTTATGGTTGGGAAGCAGTGATTGGAGAGGTCTGGAGGCAGGAGCCTCACTATTAATTTTATGTCTACACCCCTTACTCCTTTACAGAAAGTATAGCATTTTATTGAATAGACCTGTGCTTTTAGCTAATTAATGATCTAAGTTTTTCCTTTAATGTAGAAATGGTCCTTTCCAGTATCTTAATCTAGGTAGGTTCCTTGAGTCATTCATCTCTGCTAACCTAATTTGTGTTTTCACGTGCGCCAGCGGTTCAGGACCCCAGCCTGGAAGGATGGTGTGCATCCCTTGCATCGTCATTCCGGTTCTGCTCTGGATCTACAAAAAGTTCCTGGAGCCATACATATATCCTCTGCTCTCCCCCTTTGTTAGTCGCATGTGGCCTGGAAAAGCTCTTCAAGAATCCCACGATAAAAACAAGGGCCAAGTAGACTGCAAGGTACGAACATTAAAATACCTTGAATAAGGGCAGGTGAGGGGGGTGCTAAGTCAAGGTAAAATACTTGGCTTTGAAAAGGCAAGTTCTTGGAACCAGAGGCTTCCTTAATGTGCCTTTTTTTTTTAATGTTTATTTTTGAGAGAGAGAGAGTGTGAGTAGAGGAGGAGCAGAGAGAGAGGGAGACATAGAATCTGAAGCAGGCTTCAGGCTCCAAGCTGTCAGCACAGAGCCCAACACGGGGCTCGAGATCATGACCTGAGTCGAGTCGGACACTTAACCGACTGAGCCACCCAGGAGCCCCATCCTTAATGGGTCTTAATTTCTTTTTTTAAAATAAGGGGTTTGGGTTGTGCTTTTTAAGTAACTGACTTTTGGTTTGAACTAAGGTTTTAAACTGGACTTCTAATCAGTGCATTTGTGCCTTGTTTTTAAGCCATGATAGTAACCAATATTTCTTAGCAGGTAATAATAGTAAATAGCTAATGGATGGGAAGAGATGATATTAAAATATGCCAGTTTCATTGATTAAAAACTTTGGTAAGAGATTTAGTTGGAAGGATCATAGAAATTTAAACACACACACACACACACACACACACACACACACACACGGGGCACCTGGTTGGCTCAGTTGAGTGTCTGACTTTGGCTCAAGTCATGATCTCACAGTTTGTGAGTTCAAGCCCTGAGTCGGACTCTGCACTGACAGCTCAAAGCCTGCTTCAGATTCTCCGTTTCTCCCTCTCTGCTCTCCCGGCCCCTCCCACCCCAATAAACAATTAAAAAAAAAGTTATTTTTTAAAATGAGTATTTGGACAACTCTGTTTTTAGCATTGGTGCTTCTTAAGCTCGACTTCAACTATGTTCTGCAATAATTCAGCTACCCAGCACATTTCTAGAACCAGAGGTTTTTCATTCTGAAGTTTATCTGTTTTTAAAGAGAAGACCTCTTATAACGAGTGTCTTTATGTTGTAATAATATCTAAAACGTTTTTTTTATTTTAGGGCGCAGACATAAATGGATTACCAACTAAAGGACCAGTGGAAATCTCGGATAATAAGAAAGACTAAAGTGATTGTTCCAGAGGATCTCATTGTTTTAAAAATGGACCTGATCATATGAAGCACCTTGCTTGTAATTGTCTCTGACCTTTTTCTCTGAGACCAGGATTCCGGGTAGATAACTTAGATACTTAACCTGATGCTAATCAGGAAATACATGCTGTCTGTATTTAAGATGTGTTTAGTTATATTTAATGATTTCATTCCTGAGTTCCTTTTTCATTAAGTAGCTTTAATTTCTACTATTACAGTTATGAATAAATAAAAGTGTTTTGCCAGTAGACTTTGCTACTAAATCAGTCCTCAGAAATCCTTGGGCCTCTAGCTTTTGTTCAGGCTCTTTGAATTTGAGCAGAGTGCAATGTTACTGTGAAACGGTGCAGTGAGACTGTGCAGGGAAAGGAAAGGGTTTGGAGGGGTGATGAGGGCTTGAAAGATCATAATTACTGTCTAATACAATGGAGAAGCTTACTCAGGAGAGTAGTCACTGCTTATGGCTCTGAGGAGAATAGAAAAGACAGGGAAATTGGGGAAGCGCCTTTGGAAAAGGAATACCTTTTACAGAAATATCTAACGTACACTAATTCTAATCCTTGTTGCATTCCTTCTATTCTTATGAAGTATATTAAATATTCTGTTCAGCGTGTGGTGGTTTGTTTCTTTTAAAGTTTCGATATTTAGCGGGTTGGCCGGGTAGCTCAGCTGGTTAAAGCACGGTACTGATAAAAGTTGAAGTATTTAAAAGGGACATTTTGTACCACATCAGAAAGCAGAATTATGGGGTGACAGCATCTGTATAGTTATGAAACAACAATCTTTTTTCTTTTTTTAAAGAGTAGATTGTACCCGCTACTGTTGCATTACAGGACACTCCAAAATGGAGTGGTTTTTAACGGGGTACTGGGCAGTCCTTCGCTTGTCTGGGTCTCCACGTCGTCTTTCATCCCTGGGCTTTTTCGCATCAGCGTAGGGATGTATCAATAGTCAAAGGTGATGGGCTCTATCTTTATAGCGTATGTGTGTATTCCCTGTGAGTTCAGAAGGAGAAGCTAGAAGGGACTCCTCTCGAAGTCCTTAGTCCTCACCGAGGCTCCATTAAGCTGTGGGTCCAGTCAAGTCACCGATTCACCCTGGACTTCATTTGATACAAATCAGTAGCTTTCAGTTTTTCTGTTCCAACCCGGCTGAAGGATAAGATAAGTCCCCTTTGACAACTATGTTCAGTTGATCTGGTTTTTTGCACAGGACCACTCCGATTAGGTTTTTTTAAGGTATAAAAACTATTATAAAAATGGATGTAGCGGTGCTTGGCTGGCTCAGTCGGTGGAGCGTGCATCTCTTGATCTTAGGGTTGTGGATTCAAGCCCCACGTTGGGTGTGGAGATTATTTAAAATCTTAAAAAAATAAAAAAATGTAGGAAAAATTCAAGAGCAAGTTAAGTGAAAAGTAAATTTTCTTTCTCTACCTTTATTCCAGTTCAACAGGTGTTTTTTGTGTAGCTTCCTAGCAACTTCCTTAATTTTTTTTTTACTGTTTTACTTTTGAGAGAGTGCACATGCAAGTGGCGGGGTTGGAGTGGGGGGGCAGAGAGAGGGAGATGGAGGATCCCAAGCAGGCCAAGAGCCCGATGCTGGGCTCAGCTCAAACTCCTGAACCGGAGATCAGGACCTGAGCCAAATTCGGATGCTCAAATGACAGAGCCAGCCAGACACCCCCTTAATTTGTTTTTATTAAATATATCACTTTTTAAACATCATAATCTTGCAAGGTGGATAATGTCCGTATTCCCTTAGTCCTCCAAGGCATTACTCATTTAGCTGTTGTTGGTCTTCTGTATATCTCCATATCGATAAATAATACATACATACTGCTATTTTTGGAGTTATTAACTCTTCCTGACTTCTGCCATGGCTAAGATCTAGCTAACTTACACTGTAAGTCCCACCACTTCTCCCACACATCCTCCTAATTCGTTTTTTAAATTTGGGTTGTCATTAGCATTTATATCATTGTGAGTGCGCCAGGTGTCTAACATTTGCCCCTCCAAGTCTGCTGCCTTTGTCCTACTCTGCTGCCCAGGAAACCATATGGACTACTGCAACAGACTCTCCCGGCATCTAAGATTCTGTTGGGTTTAGCCAGTGGAGATCTACAGCAGGGGGAAGGGAAAGGGGAAAGGAGGGAGGTCCGGGTATTTATTCCCTTGGCTGTCTCCCTTCAGGGCCTCTTCAGGTCAGTTACATTCCTCAGCAAAAAGTCCCCGCACCTCACATCAACCAACTGCACATTTTCAGTTTGCCATTAACTGCTCCCTCACCTTGTCCTTTTGGGCCTGATAGGGGTGATAGCATCTCTTAACTACTGCCTGTGGCTTACTGTGTTATTTGAAGAGTGCCTTCTGCTTTCTGGGACACTAATACGATGAGCATACAGGAACTCTCCACTGGGTACCGTATGTGCTGCAGTAGTCCCACCCCTCACTTCAGTGTTTGCACTCACATCGTCACAAGGGTAAGCACAGTACAATAAGGTATCTTGAGGGGTGGGGCGCCTGGGTGGCTTAGTTAAGCCTCTGACTTTCGCTCAGGTCATGATCTCGCGGTTCGTGGGTTCAAGCCCCGCGTCGGGCTCTGTGCTGACAGCCAGCTCAGAGCCTGGAGCCTGTTTCAGAGTCTGTGACTCNCCCCGCGTCGGGCTCTGTGCTGACAGCCAGCTCAGAGCCTGGAGCCTGTTTCAGAGTCTGTGACTCCCCCTCTCTCTGACCCTCCGCTACTCACGCTGTCTCTCTCTCTCCTAGAAATAAAAAAACATTAAAAAAAAAAAAGATATCTTGAGGGGTGCTTGGGGACTCAGTTAAGCATCTGATTCTTGGTTTCTGATCAGGTCATGATCTCTGTTGCTGAGTTCAAGCCCCGCTGGCAGCTCAGAGCCTGGAGCCTGCTTTGGATTCTGTGTCTCCCTCTCTCTGCCCCTCCCCAGCTCACGCTCTGACTCTTTATCTCTCTCTCTCTGGCAAAAGTTAACATTAAAAAAATTTAAATAAGATATTTTGAGAAATCACATTCACAACTTGCCACAGTAAAATTGTTCTGTTTCATTATTAATCTCTTATTCTAATTTATAAATTAAACATAGGTACGCACGTGTAGGAAAAAATAGTATCTATAGGGTTCAGAGCTATCCACTGTTGCAGGCACCCACTGTGGGTCTCGGGGCATATCACCCATAGATGAGAGGGAACGACTAGTATGGTTGTGTTTCCTTTCACCACAAGCATTGCTCTCCCAGAGTTACTACTTTTTCCTCGCTATGCACTTCCTTTCCTGACGACTTATTGCCGAGGCCTGGTACACAGGGGCGGCGCTCAGGACTTACATTCGCTCCTGGATTAGGATCTTTCCAATCTCACGTGGAAAGATCCTACGTGGCATCCCACGTCTTCCTCTTTCTTACTTTACTCTCTCATTTTTTTCTGTAGCCACCAAACTTCTAGTTCATTCAATACTCTTAGAGGCTGAGTATGGGAAGTTTTGTAAAGTTCTCCCCAGTCATCCCAGTTCATGGAAACCCACCTTCCTAAGAATTGCTGGCCTTCAAGGCCTTAGCGCCTTCTAACAGTATCACATTCCCAGTCTTGTGTCTTACGTACCAGTAAAATGTTCTTAAAAAGGCTGAGCAGACTGATACACAGTTGACAACTTTATTTGGCCAACCATGATATTTTAAAAAGCTATCATGTATTACCATTATTTCGTAAAAGACCTTTTGGTCCTAAAAGGATGAAAAACATGAGAATAAAGGAAAATAATAGCCCATTAGTTTGAATAAGTTTATGAAAAATATTTTTACAGGAACTTCACACTATTCTTTTTATAGTTGGTTGGTGAAAACTTAGCACCTCCCTTTGGACTGGATTTGTTAGCCACTGTTCTATACCACACAAGTGTTCTCTTGTCCCCAAATATCAGTCACATCTATCATGTTTCAGGGTTGCCTTTCTAGTAGAAGCTTCTATCTGTTAAAAACATGTACCTGGTACTGTGCAAGAGTATTTCACAAACTGACCTTATCTGATCCTTATAAAACTGCAATGTAAAGAAACAGGAACGTAGAGTTTATGTTATATGGAGAGTTTAGGATTTTGAAACTATACTTGGGTCTTAAACTATTGATCCCTTATAGAGCAATCACAGCTGCTGATTCCTTGTAAGGCTTCAGTGGGAATAATTGAGCCGAAATGGCCGGGGGGAGGGGGAGGGGGAGGGGGGGAGGGAGGTGCACCAATTAGTTTTTGTGTTCTCACGTTTTAACTTTGCTCCCCTTGCACCAACACAACTGTACCTAGTTTTCAGTAGTTTATTTTGCCTTAGATCACTTTCACAGCACTTTCTGTTTCTCTGGGAGACCGGATTATCGTTCCCAGAAAATAATTCAAGGCTCACCCGAACAACTCCAGTTTTGTCATATTTTCTTCATTACTAAGCAGCCTTCCTAGGAAACAGGTGAGTCAGCACTTCTGCAAAATGACACCCCCCTGGCATGTTGGTCCACTGGACAAGGCTGGCAGGTTTAAAAAAAGTCACCATCAAAAAAATCTAGGATGGCTCTTCCTGTAAGGGGCCTCAGACGATCTCCAAAAATTGTTCGCTATTCACTTGACCCAGAAAAGCCTACGAAATCATGCAAATAAAGAGCTTCAAATCTTCTTGTTTGCTTTTAAGAACCACATGTGTGGGGCACCTGGGTGGCTTAGTCGGTTGAGCGTCCAACTTTCGCTTAGGTCATGATCTCGCGGTTCGTGGGTTCAAGCCCCACGTCGGGCTCTGTGCTGACTGCCAGCTCAGAGCCTGGAGCCTGTTTCGGTCTGTGACTCCCTCTCTCTCTGACCCTCCCCTGCTCGCGCTGTCTCTCTCTCTCTCCTAGAAATAAATAAAACATTTAAAAAAAAAAAAGAACCACACGTGAAACTGCCCATGTGTATCCGCAAAGCCAGCAAGTAGCTGAAAGATGCCACCTTGGCAGAAGCAATGTGTCACTACCATGGTGGAGTTGGTAGGTGTGCCCATGCCAAAAATGGGGCTGGACACAGAGTCAGTGGCCCAAAAACTGTGCTGAATCTCTACGGCACACACTTAAAAATGCAAAGGGTAATGCTTAGCTTAAGGGTTGAGATATAGATTCTCTGGTCATTGAGCACATCCAGGTGAACAAAGCCCTCAAAATGTGGCTTACGAGGCTCATGGTTGGATTAATCCATACATGAACTCTCTCTGCCACATTGGGATGATCCTGGCTGAAAAAGAGTAGATTGCTCCTAAACCAGAAGAGGAGGTTGCACAGAAGAAGAAGATACTCCAGAAGAAACAGAAGAAACAAAAACTTACAGCCCAGGAATCAATTCTACATTAAGATAAATGCAAGTAAAAGTAAAAAAAAAAAAAAAGTCTAGGATGGGGGTGGTTAGAAGGGGTTTTTATACTACTTGTATTTAAAAATATATTTTACAGGGGCTCCTGGGTGGCTCAGTCAGTTTAACATCCGACTGGGGCACAGGTCATGATCTCACAGTTCGTGGGTTCAAACCCCGTGTCGAGCTCTGTGCTGACATTTCAGAGCCTGGAGCCTGCTTGGAATTCTGTGTCTCA